TGTTGGGGGCAAGACGCGGACTCTGTAAACCACTTAGAAAGGTCTGAAGCAGTATATAAGTCTTAAATGCCACTTCTATTGCTATTGCTAAACACCTTGCAAAAGAACAGAAGCCTGTAATTCAGCAACAAAGAATACTTGTAAGCTCAGGGTTGAAATGAGAGGTCAAACATTGAGTTTCACAAGGCCCTCTATTAGATGCTATAGAATAACAGAGTTGGAAGGGACATTGGAGGTCATCCAGTCCAACCACCCTGTCTTGAGTTTTCTATTCCAAATATTAGCCGTACTAAGATCGAACTCACTTGTGAAGCAAGAGCTCCACCTCTAGGCTACCAGATCTACCATTGGTAGATTAGTAGATTGGTGCTTGGTGCTCTCGGAATTTGCTTGTTTTCTTGCAGATGTTTCATTGCCCAAACTAGCACTGGTGATGTCATCAAGAGCGCAATGAAACGTCTGCAAGAAAGAAAAAAAAAGCCCAGAAAGCAGCAAGACCTGTAATTCGTCCTTACGTCGATAGATGGCGCGCCTTCCATTAAGTGCTTAACACCCGGCGACTAGAAAGCGGGTCAGTACAGTAGAGCGGCATCGATGGTGGCCGAGCACTGACATCCAACGGGAGGGGAGCGACGGAGCCTAAAGGTGTTGAAACAATAGAGTCCTGGATTTCTAGAGAGGATGTGGAAGAGAGAGAGAGGAAGAATAGAGGAAGTGCCTCTTCCAGCTGACCCATCGGAGGACGGAGGCGTTGGAGGGCTCTCCTCCTACTCTTCCCAGGACTTTAGCAGCTGGAAGGTGAGTTTAGGACAGGTCGGAGGAGAAGCCGGGTGCAAGTAGGGCTGTTTGGTTTCCTCCAGGTTGCAGAAGCAGAACAACAGAGTGGGAAGGGACGATGGGACTTTATCCAGTGGCACGCTCTTTGTTTTTGCAATCATTCCCCATCGGATATGTCTGAGAATTGGTGGAATTGGCCATAGAGAAAGTGACTTTTTTCTTCGTACTGAGATCAGTTGCACGAAATCCCCTCATTGGCAAGGTGACCTAGAGCAGGGTTCTCCAACCTTGGCAACTTTAAGACTTGTGGACTACACCTCCCAGAATTCCTCAGCTAAACAAAGTTTCTCTGGCTGAGGAATTCTGGGAGTTGAAGTCCACAAGTCTAAAAGTTGCCAAGGTTGGAGACCCCTGACATAGAGAGTTGTTGGCTTTGTCTAATTTCCTTCAACTCTTGGATTCATGAAATCTACAGTGGAAGATGAAATCCTTTAAAAGAGGAGTTGGTGAAACACAAGAAACAACCAACAGTGAAACAGTCCTTGGTGTAGAACACAGTGAAAATAAGGCATGAGCGTTCAGATGAACGTTTTGCTCTTATTTTGTCTACCTCACGTGGAATTGTGTGGCAGGCAGAGAAAACCTTGGTCTGTCGGTCCAGTCTCATTCCTAGGGATTCATTTTGACCTATGGAGCCATAACATGAGACTCAACTTTGAGGATCTGGTTCCTGCTTGCCACTTGTGCATAGAGAAAAAAATCTCCCTGTTCCTCTGTACAGAGATGAGCAATGTGGAAAGGAAACGTTGGTCTGGATTTCTCTGAGGAATGGACTTCAGGCCAGGTTCCGTTTCCAAGAAGAGTGTGATGACAATTAATTGATAGAATAACAGAGTTGGGAGGGACCTTGGAAGCTTTCCAGTCTGCTAATTTAGTCACTTGGTCAAGGAGTCAAATAAGATTGGTTTGGCATGATCTGTTTCTGATTTGGCTTCTGGTGGTTGCAGATCTGTTGCTTTATTATATCCAGGATCTTCCCAGATATTGATGGGTGGTCTGGTTGGTCTGCAGTTCCTGGGTTTGTTTGTTTTTTCTCTTTTTTGAAGATGGGAATGCTCTTTCTGGGCCTCTGGTAGTTCCCCAGTGCTCCGGGATCTTTAAAATACATGGTTCAATGGTTCCGAGATCACGTCTGCCAGCTCCCTTCATTGGGAACTGGCAGAATATTGGGATGTAATACATCAGGTCCTGGTTCTTTGAACTCATCTACAATGGACAAGTGTTTTCTTGCTTATTTTAATTTGTATTCCTGGTCTGTCTTTTACGGTTATGTTTTTGATAGGTTGGGCTGTATTATCTGTTTGCATGAAGACAGATGCAAAGAATGAATTAAGCAGCTCTGCTTTCTCTCCACTGCCTGTTGCTTCCTCTCCATTTTCTCTCATTAACGGACCAATTGTTTCCTTTATTTTTTTCTTGCTTTTTATATGTTGAAAGATTTTTTTAAGATTGTTTTTGACATTTGTTGCAAGTCTTACCCCCTTCTGAGTCTTATCTTTCTTGACTTCATCTTTGTAAGTTTTTTGTTTGTATTCTGCCTTAGTTACATGTGCCTCTTTCAATTTCTTGTACTTATTCTTATTATGTTTCAGTTTATCAGAGAATTTTCTGTGTAACCATGCTGGTTTCATATTGGATTTCTTGTCCTTCTTTTTCAGTGATATTGAGGTGGACTGGCCTTTTATAACCATATTTTTCAGAGTCACTCAAGCTTCTTGACTTGTTTCCCCCTTTAAGACTCCCTAAGCTCTTTCTAAGCTTGTTAAAATCAGCTCTTTTAAAACTTAAGGCACTGTTTTGATTTTGTTCTATTGTGTTTGCATTGTATTGAATTCCAGTATAGAATAGAATGGAATTCTTTACTGGCCAAGTGTGATTGGACACACGAGGAATTTGTCTCTGGTGCATAAGCTCTCAGTGTACATAAAGAATACATTCATCAAGAATCATAAGATACAACACTTAGTGATATTCATAGGTTACTAATAAGCAATCAAATCATACTATGAAACAAAACAATATAAATTGTAAAGATACAAGCAATGCGGTTATAGCCATAAATGGGAAGAGATAGGTAATAAGAATGAGAAGAATAATAGTAATAGTGTCTTACTAAGTATTTTATAGTGTTGTGGGAATTAGTTGTTTAACAGAGTGATGGCAGTTCAGGAAAAAACTGTCCTTGTGTCTAGTTGTCCTGGTGTGCAGCGCTCTATAGCGTCGTTTTGAGGGAAGGAGTTGAAACAGTTTATGTCCAGGATGTGAGGGGTCTGTAGATATTTTCACAGACTTCTTTTTGACTCGTGCAGTATACAGGTCCTCAATGAAAGGCAGTATGGTATCATGGGGTCACTCTCCTCTAAAGTAACTTCAATCCCCTATATCAGTGATGCCTGCACCCATAATGCAATGAATATGTGACACACACACACCCCTCTGCTCCCCCTTGCACATGTGCACACATCTCCTGCCCCCTGCATGTGCAGCAGTTACCTGAAATTCAGCTGCTGGTGAGAGGCACGCATGTGTGCGCAGTAAAACTGAGCTGACGTGACAACTCATGTGACCGCAGAGATGGCTCTGTGTGCCACTTCTGGCACGCATGCCATAGGTTCCTCATCACACCCTATATCATTTCTTCTGTGTTAGTAAGAATTAGGTCCAGTACAGCTGTCTCTCTAGTTCCCTGCTCTGTCTTTTGCATGACAAAATTGTCAGATTGGTCAGGAACCTGTTCAACCTCCCACCTGATACAGAGCTTGTGTCACCACTGATGTCAGGATAATGAAAGACTTCCACTACTGCTCTGGTGTGTTTGCAACATACTTTTGTTAATGTATGTGGCAGAGAAAAAAACGAGGCAGAAACAAGTCAATTACTGCTTCATTTTTCTTTCCTCTGCAGATTTTGTTTCAGTGGTACTGGTTATTTTAAAAGTGTTGTCTGCAAAAAAAATTTTGATGGTTGGGAGATTTAAAAGTCTCCTTCAATTTAGGATTGATTCTGTGAGTTTTTGAGATGTGCTGTTTTCTTGGAAACTGAGGAGTTTATATATCTGGCATATGCTCTGAGCACCATTTCATCAGTTGAAGCACATCATCTGTTGAAGCCTTCCCCACTCTAAAATTGGATTAAAAATGTGAGTGTACCTACTTTGGGGACATTTTTGTGGCTATAATACACATGGACTTTTAAAATACTTCTATTGGTAGGTGTGTCTATATTTGTTTCTATATTTGTGTGCATATCTATATAATCTGTCCCAGGTATTCCCTGATGTATTTAAAAATAACAATTTAGAATGCTAAGAATTTGTTATTTGCTGAAGTCCAAAAGATAATGTAATGTTTGTTTGGATATTTGAGCTTGGATCTTGCTAGTCTTCTATGGGTTAAATGAACCATAGTTAATGTTAGAGGTTAAACTAGCATTTTGGCATGTTTGCTTTCTCATTGTAATGCATGCTTTGTTCTCCTGCTGTTTTCACATTTTCTGCATCCACTTCATAAACAACCATTAAACTATGGGCTTGTGTCAATCTTACAGGACAAAGAGGATGCCCAGAAGAGAATTCCAGACAAGTGAGAGTCACAATCAGCAGTAAAAAGGAAAGCAAATCCAGCCAGCAATGAAAGTCTTTTCCACTTGTTCTCCTTCTGCAGGCAGGTGACAGACAAACGAGAGAATAACAGGAAGAGAGTTTTGAGCTGGAAAAAAATTGAGTATATAGAATTCAAGCAGGCACTCCCAAAAGGATAAAGAGGGATCATTTCCAAATTCAGAAAAAGGGGAAATAATCTAGAACTCACTGGAGCAGAAAGCGACACTCAGATAGGCATGTAAGACAGGCAGTCATGGAAGCTTCACCCTATGAAGAAAGAAATAATAGTTTGAATCAAAGAAAGCCGTATCTCTGTCCAATTTGTGGAAAAACTTTCATTCAGAATGCTCACCTGATGATACACCTGAGGACTCACACAGGAGAGAAACCCTATGAGTGTCCAGATT